CGCACCCAGTGCGGAGCCTGCACTGTTTCCGCTGACTCTCGCCGCCCCGCCTTCTCTCGCCATCCTGAGATGTCCCCAGGTGCTGCTTCCGTCCCATTATTCTTGTGCTCATTCTCACAAGTCATCCAGGGGCCCTGGCGGCTGTAGGATCGTTTGATTCCTTGGCCGGGCATCCCCGGCCTGGCCTTACGTCCCGCCACCGGCTGCCTCTGCCCCAGTGGCTGGGCCCACCCTGGCCCCACCCGGCTCCTCAGTGACCTTGGTGAAAAATCACTTTCCAAGTATTTGCGAGATACCCATTTATTTAGAACCCACCTGAGACAGTTCCCTCGCCTGTGAAATGAGAGTAGGAGTTCCTCTCCCCTAGGTTTCGAGGTTCAAAGGAGACAGTGTATTTGGAAAAACCCGGGTTTGTGTCTGGCAGGTGTGCTCAGCTCACGCATGCTGTCTTAGCCTCTGCTCAGATAGTGTATGTTACAACATATTTACTTTTTTCCATCTGTGGCTTCTCCTCCTTCCTCCCCCCTTTTGTTTCTTTCTCTAAGATCTCTTAATTTCTGCTCATTCTTTAGACTGCTCAAGGCCGCCTCCTGGGGTGGACGCCCTGCACTGAGGTCTACTCATGTTTCTTCTCCCTTTGGAAGTTCTGCTCATTTGAAACATTTTTATTCTGCCGTCTCTCTTTCATTCCTGTCTCTAGCCTTTATAAGTCCACAATGTATCTTGTAAGCAGAAACTGTACATAATCTTCAGCTGTGTCGATACCCTCATCAGTCAGCATTTGTAAGTAGTCATGCATCGCTTAATGATGAGGATATTTCTAAGAAATGCATCATTGGGTGATTTGGGGTTGTGTGAACATCACAGGGCACACTTACACAAACCTGTGTGGTAGAGCCGACGGCACACCTACCCTGTGTGCTGTAGCCTGTTGCTCGCAGGCTACACACCTGCACACACGTGACTGTACTCAGTGCTGTCGGCAACTGTAACACAGTGTATTTGTGTCTCTGAACATATCTAAGCATAGAAAAGGTACAGTAAAAATATGGTATTTTGATCTTAGCAGACCACTGTTGTGTATGCTGTCCTCCTTGACTGAGACATCATTAATGCTGCGGACGACTGGACCTACCAATGTGAACTGCATTGTGCTACATATGGAGAACACACACAGCTTTAATATAGTATTTGCTGCCTTCCAGAGGTGGCAAATAGTAGTTGAGGAAGTGAGGTACCTGTCTTGCTGCATAAAGAGCTTAATAGTAATGGGAGGGTGAGGTGGGCACATGTGTCCAGCGTCCAGAGCATGGTGTCAGGCGGTTTGCTCGACCTGGAATCTCTGCACTCACAGACAGACAGAGCTCCCAAAGGGGTCCTTGTATCTACCACTTCAGGCATTGTTTTTGACGTGAAAATATTTCATGTGTACTTCCCCAAATATGCAGTTGTCATGCTGTGAGGTAAAAACACAAACTCAAATTTATCAACATATATTAAATATGGATTTAGATAATATATCAATTGCTTTCATCAAATGATACAAAATTACATCTACAGTCCTAGACTATTTTCATGTTTAAAAGGGGCTTTCGTTTTAATGAAATGTTACAATCTATTATACTGACTCTCAGATATTCATATTTAATGTCTATGGTGGGACATGGGCATTTTTTAAGCTCCCGAGGGCTTCCAGACATGATGCAGCCAATGTAGATAGCACTGATCTTGGCCACCTGTGTGCTCAGGACCAGAGCCCCCAGAGATGGGTTCTCAGAAGACATTGTTGAGCTGTGTCTTTGAGAGCTAAGCATGTAAGGCACAGAGTACCCTGAGGCAAGCGGGTGGGGGTGGGTAGGCTCTCCAGAAACAGTGAACTATGAGGAGTGGAGGAGATTGAAGAGTGCTTCAAGACCAAGGGTCAGTGGAGACTTTCATGCTCTTTTGAGGTTTGGATGTCAATTTACAGCCTCACAGGGGACAGATATGTGATGTCATTGAGCCAACAGGTCCAGTGGTCAATGGATCCAAATGGAAGCACACAGCCATTTCTCACTGTGAAGGTGGTCAGGGCCTTAGCAAATCTTTTTTTTTTTTTTTTTTCCCAAAATGAGCTAAAAATTTCTTTTTGTTAGTGCAACATATTCCAGTGTTTTAAACATTGGCTAAGTTAACATATGCATAATATACACATGTGCACACGGCACTGTGTTGGGCAAACAAACTTCCCTGGTGCCCTTCAGCCTGCTGGGTTGCAGCTGAGGCCACAGCCAGTGGGCTCTGCCAGGCATGTGAGCCGAGGAACACCCTCCAGGTACCTCTCAGCAATGCTGCGGGAGAAGGAATCCAAGTAGGCGACAGAATTGACGGAGAGGGTGCTAGATTGTAGGAAGAGAGCTTTGTTATGTGACTCTGTTTGTGTCCACCCTGGCGATGAGGGTTCGGACGAGGGTGGTGACAGTGGACACGGGGAGAGAAGAGTGGATGAAATGATATCACAAAGATGGCTCTGGTAGTTGGGGACAGGTCGTTTATTTGGAATAAGTGAGGGACAGTCGCAACCTCTTCTGCCTCTCCCCAGCCTCTTGGCTCCTGTCCTGGAGGGCTGAGTAATAAATGTATCAGTAGCTGCTTCTTGTGGGACTTGTGTGTTCTGAAGGAGTTCAAGCCAGCTCAGTTGGAAAATGTGTTCATTTTCTAAAAACTGTGAAATAAACGTTTTGTTTTATTCTGAAAGCACCTTTGGGAGATAATGTTAATAGTACATGGGCTGCTCAGAGACTAAGCTTCTAGCCCTAGACCAAAGGTTGGTTAATAAAAAAAATCCATAGCCTCTTTCTCTCTGTCTTGGTTTTTCCATCTCTAAAATGGGGTGACATCTGTTCCTCCTAAAGAGGCTGAATAATGTGGTTCTTTTAATTTTTTCAGGCTCTGGAACCAAGCTGTCCTGAGTTCTATGTTGGCTCTTCCTGTCTGTAATACTGGAAGGGGTGCCCACGTTCCTTATCTATGACATAGGAATGACAATAGTGCCCCTCAGAGAGGAATAGTGAGGAATAAACGGATTAATAAATAGTCCTTAAAATAGTGCCATGTATGTTGACTACTTTTTAATTCTATAAATTGAAAGGAAAGAAGTATATAATGGATAAGAATATAACATAAAATTATTATAAATGTAAAGCTTTTAACAAGAAAGAATTTATACCTACTTACCATAGCAGAGGATGAGACCTGAATGTTATTCAAAGTCTTGTGTTAACCAGTGACATGAACATCAGTAGGTTTACAGCCCCACCTGAATGACATTTGTTCTTTTTTTCCATTTTTAAATGAACTCTTTCATTTTATAAGTAATACGCATACAGGTGATATTATAGAAAAATCAGGAAATGTGTAGAAATAAAAATAGCAAAACATATGTCATGCCACTTACCACCAAGAGGTCATTGTTGCTAATTCTTTCTTCTATCTTTCTAGACAATTTTATGATCTATTGCTATCATGTAGACCTCTTTTTAAAATGGAATTTTCCTAAGCAAATAATGTTTTGAAGTTTGTTTTTTAAAAAAGTCTGTATTGAGCTTTTTTGCACATAAAATTATATGCTTTTAAGGCATATTTAACTAGTGCCAGTATAACTTGTACCATAATTTATTGACATTGTCTTTTATTGATGTATAGTTAGGTTATTTATTTGTTTATTTTCCATGAGAAATTATGTTGTATGATTGAACCTCCCACAATGTAGTCTTGTGGGATTATTTCTTCAGGATAAAATTCCAGAAATAGAATTCCTGTGTCTCAGATACCTCATGCCAAAGTGCCTCCAAGAAGACTGCTCTGCTGCAGAGTTCACAGTGTGTCGGGGGCTCACGTTGCCTCTTTTGGATCCTCCGACTAGAGCATGGTTGTGTGTCGGGGAGGCAGGTGGGCCGGAGCAAGCCCTTTGGAGTCAGGGGTCTGGTTTCCATCTCCGCCCAGACACGGAATAATTGTATGCCTTTGGGTGAGCTACAGATCTCTGAGACTCAGTTTTCTCAGCTGCAAAATATTTTGAGTACTGAATGAAGTCAACTTGATAAGGTTATTATTAGCATAGGCCCCAGTGAGTGTCAAGTGCTGAGTAAATACTGTCATTATAATAAAATACCCAGGGCCTGTATAAAATAAGGTCCTTATATGTAAATAAGTACATATATACATGCATACATATGCATCCTACATATAAAATAAAATACCTGTATAAAGTTGCGTTCCTGGACCAATCTGAAGGAAACAAGAATGTAAAGATGTCCGTCAGAGCAGGCGACGCGTTGTCAGGAATTTAGAAATCTCCCGCAAGGCAAATGGGACATTCAAAGCCAGTCTGAAATAAAGTGCAAACAAAGATAAAAGGGTCGTGCGTTCCCCTTTGCCATCACTGTGTCCTTTCCCCGCCAAACAGCCGCATCCGTCACAGTGGCTGTGTGGATGGGTGTTGGCCTGCTGGACTTTGTGACAACACATCCTTGAGATCGTGGACGCGTGGCGTCCAGGTCCTCAGAACTGGTCCTGGACCCAGAGCTGGGCAGGATTTAAAGCAGAGCAGGTCCGACCCTCAGCGGACTTCTCCTCATTCGCTGTGAATTGACTGACGCGTTGGGGCGTGTGCTCCGCTCGGCTGGCCACGCAAACTGCGCCGCACCCACCTTCACCTTCACGGGGACCCGGCAAAACAGGCTGTGCTGCTCTCAGGTGGTGAGCACGTTTTTAGGGTGTTTCTCCCAGCAGTGTTTCCTTTCAAAAATGCTTCCTCTGTCATTTTTATCTTGTTAGTTTTGACGTGTTTCCGGAGGATATTGCATGTTAGCGTTGGAGAGTGCTGATATACCAATTTAAAAAGGCCACGCAACTCAGCATTTCTGAAGAGGGACATAAGTGCACATAAGAATGAATATTATGAGGAAAGTATGAAAACTGCCACTTCATTCCATGCTTCTGTGTTGTTATTTTTTAAGGAGGAGGATGAAGGCCCGTGCTCCCCCGCCTCCTGGAAAGCCTGCCACTCCGAACGGGGACAGTGAGCAGAAGCCTCCCCAAGATGTGGCCCTCACCCTGCAGCAGAACCTGATCCACATGAAGGAAGCGCTGAGGGACAGCACCGTGGACGTCACTGTGGTCCTGCCCAGTGGGCTGGAGAAGAGGAGTGTGCTCAACGGGAGGTGGGACTGGGCTCCGGGCGGAGGGTCACTGTGCTCCCGTTTGCAAGAATAAGGAGAGTTGAAGGTGGATGTAGATGTGTTGCACTTTCCCCCATGTCAGGTCTGACCCCAGGGCCTCACAGACGTACATCCGGGCTTAGGTGACAATCGAAGACAGCTCGAACTGTCTCACCTGGAATGAGTTTATGCCAGGGGCCCAGCCATGGCTCTCCTTGGTCCTTAGGAGGGCCAGGGCCGCATGGCTCACTCCTGTTAGAGGGATGCTCAGAAAGAAGGGCAGGTGCAGAGGTAACCAATGGCCCCAGGACTGGAGCAGCCAGGAGGGCGGCCTCTGGAATCAGCCATTCCGTCGTCCACTTGCAAGCTGCCCTGTAGAGGGGTAGATATGCTTGGCAATCACCTTTTTCAAGCGAAAACAATTTAAGTTTAGATTAAAGACTAAAACTCAATGCATGGATTTCTAATTTAAGGGAATCAACTTCCAGACCCTTCGTTCCCACACACACTCTTCTTGGGACTGCTCTGCCTGTGCCTTGGCCCCGTGTCACGGGCCACGTCTCTCACAAAAGGTGCAACCGAAACGTGGGCAACGCCTCCTTCGATCACAGTATTGCAAGTTTTCTTACCAGTACAATTTCAAATGTTATGTTTTATACTGATCTAAATATATCACTATTATGTTGTTTGATCAATTTTATGCTACTATTACTGATGTTTTTACTGATAATCTGTAATAGAAAGTTTCAACAAAGTCTCAGGAAAAAAATTAAATGTAAATGTTTATACATGTTTTACTATAGAGAAGTGTGATAGAATGCTCAATTATAAAATAACGTGTAAACAGATATTTATATAATTCTGATGCAGTAGTGAACGGAAATAGCATTTGTAAGAAAACAGGAGCATAAGAAATGATATAAAATACTTAACTCTTTTAACTCTTATAAAGGAGTTTGCTCGACTAATTTTAAATGGATAGTGGTGGAAATCACGTCACTCTGGGTGCTTTTATCCTCACGGATACATTTAAAAAAGTAATGCAAGAGTTTTATTAAAATACCAGCACTTAGATTATACTTGAAATCACCTAATCCTTTGCAACTATTTTATTAATTATTATTAATTAATTTATAATGAACATTCTAGGTGATAGTTTAATGGGCAAAGGGGTACACAAGCTTTGAAAATTACCGTGTGGGACGGAAGCTGTTGAGTCATGGGAGACAACACTGTCCACTGTCCGAGGGGAGGCCAAACTGCTTTCCAGTGTGGTGCCACCAGGTATCAGGGCTGCTCTTCAGTTGGGGTCCTCCTGTCACAGCAGGAGGGCTCAGGTGCAATCAGCTGTCTACACTGCGTCCATGTGGGAGGTGCCCAGGCTGGAAGCCTCTGTCTCCTGTGGCACCTCCCCAGGCCTCCTCCCAGGGTGCACACCCAGAACTGTGGAGTTAGAAGACTTTCTGCATGTTTCTCTAATTTACAGAGTAGTTGTCGGCCAAAGTATATTCTTCCTGTGTAACTTCATAACTTAAGAAGTGTGTCATATTATTACAGTTTTAAAAACCATTTTAGAATATGCATGAAGTTTTATCAGTGAATGTGTTACAGTTTGCTCACCATGCTTTTATTTTGGCCCATTTTTTTTTTAATAGAATGGCATTATGGATCATGTATTAAGACTGTAATGCCTGGGTCCAGTTTTACAAATGCGTGAGGAAAGATAGAATGCCTGTCTGAAAAGTAAAAATATTATTTTGAAATTTGTCTTCAAATAGAACACATTCTTCTAATTGTATAGGGTTTTTTTTCCTGATAAAGTAGAAGTTACCACCATGCAGTTTTGCAATGCAGTTACTAAGAATAGGTGCAGGCTTAGAGATTGAGTATTAAAATAACTTTATCTTTTCTAAGTAGTGAAAGGATTAGTGAGTCAGAGCAGCAGCCTGTGAGCTGCCTTAAGTGGGTCTTTGGGTGGTAACTGTTGCAGACGTGGCGCTTCTTTCTTTGGGAATTGGTTTTATGTGGTGTGCTCTTTAATAATGTAAGAGTGGGCTGCAGTTAAATTCCTGACACTTGCTTAAAATAGATCTACTGATTTTGTTGTCAGTGTGGTTTCTCTCTCTGTAGGATAAACAAGGAGTTTATAGTTTATCGGCAGCCCTTGCCCGTGTTACGTCCTGACGTGAAAGATTCTCACGAAGAGGACACATTAGTAATTGTGTGCTGATGATCCACTTCTGCAAGCCACAGTGATTTTTTCTTTTTAGCTTCCCTTGCATTTAGAAACATAAATAATACTCCAGGACTTTTCTTACAGGTTAAGACTTGAGAATCGGTGCTCTGGGCTGCTCTTAAGGAACACGTCCTGGCTGCTGCCTTAAGGATGGAGCTACCAGCGCCCTCACGGCTGCCGGATAGAGGCCACTGTCCCATCACTTTAACTGGGGCACAAGTAAAGAGAAGATCTTTGCAGAGACAATGGCCTAAGCCAGACAGCAGCTGGACAAAAGGGTATCAGGCACTTAGAGTGTTGGGGCTGTGTCATTTTGCTGTGGTCCCTCCGTCATGGCCATGTTAGCACACAGCCAAGGGGCTGGGGTGGGAGAAGGCATGCCACTCCTTTGCAGGATAGAGGAAATCGCCCTCGATATTCAGTCCTGGGATTCTGCCGCTATGGGCCACTGCACCCGCTTTACAACAGACAGACTTACTCCTGTGCAGGGAATTTTAGGTCTTTTTTTGTAAGACAGCACAGGACCCTCACAGCATCAGGCGCTGGGCTCCACGCTCCTGTAGAGAGCTCACCTGTTCCCAGGTGCAGGGCAGGGAGGCTCGGAGGGACCCCCAGCCCTAGTCTGTCCCTCAGGGTGTTGATGGAGCATGTGTGTTGCCTGCTGGCGGCTCCTGAAGGGCCTGCGGCCTCAGCCTTGTTCCCACAGCGAGCTCCTGCCCAGGGGGCCGAAGGGAGGGAAGTTAGAATGGGCAGTTTGGATGCCATGTGCTGGCTCGTAGGCCCAGAGGAAGGCTATTCTCTAAGTAACAGGGTTAACAGCCCAGTGTGGTTTTGTTTCTGTTTGAAGAATACCCTTTAAATAGAGTAAATTCCTGGGGCACAGAGCCCGCCTTGGTAATCCGAACCAGAGGCCAGTCTCGCTGAGCTTGCATATCAGCGTGTGGTGCGTTTGGTCATGGGGGCCCTAACTGGCCATTCCGAGTGGCCTCCCCACGCCTCCCAACGATGTTGCTGCTTCATTAAGGCTTTGTTTGGGCTCCAGCCAAGAGAAGCTAAAAACAAAACAATAGCAAACAAAAACCCACTGGTTTGCAGAACGGGATCATCAGCATCCAGTGACTGATATTTCCTTCACGAGGTCTTCCCTATGAGGAGTGACAGGCTAGGGGTCGGCCATAAATTATAAACTCTTTGTCCTCAGTAAAGTGGGATGTTCTTATTAAACCCCCTGTTTAATACTTCACAGAAGGTGCTGTTGGTTTTGATACTGATATTATACCAATCATACATAGGGGAGGTCTCATACTAGGAAATCTTGATGGATTAGAACATAAAAATATTTATTCATTGTTCAAAATATATATTCAATCACTATATGAGGCACTGGGAAAAGCAAGCAGAGGAAATAAATAGCATTTACAGAATGACTGGTTTACGTAAGAAGCAGGTAGTTCAATGTTGCTTGAACCTAGACTGAGAAGGGGGGTGGTTCGTAGGCCTGGGCACCTGGGTGGCCAAATCCCAAAGAGACTGCACGTGCCATTGGGGACGTGAGATTCTGTTCTAGAGCTAGGCAAGTCGCGAGAAAACTGGTGCATCAAGAGTATTAATTTTCTTCAAACCTAGAGGGAAATCGTTTTATATTAAAGGTAGCATGCAAGGCCTGTGCAGTGGTTCACACCTGTAATCCCAGCATTTTGGGAGGCTGAGGCAGGAGGATCACTTGAGGCCAGGTGTTTGAGACCAGCCTGAGCAACGTAGTAAGACCCTATCTCTATAAAAACATAGAAAAATTAGCTGAGTATGGTGCATGCCTGTAGTCCCAGTTACTCAGGAGGCTGAGACAGAAGGATTGCTTGAGCCCAGGAGTTTGAGATTGCGGTGAGCTATGATGATGCCTCTGCACTCTAGCCGGAGGGACAGAGCAGGCATGCAGAACATGAAGTTTTAAAGACAAACACTAACAGGGCATTTTAAGGGTAATTGGCTGTGTCCATGTTTCCCAAGGGTACTTTTTGAATCATCCACCAAGTGAGAATCACATGTAAAACACCTAGCTTAATTATAACCTGGACACAGAACGATCTAGATTCTGAAGTTAGGTGACTGCCAAGATGTAGGTCAAAGGATGGAGAGGCCAGAGTTAAGAAAGCGCAAGTTACTGTGGTCAGCAAAGGGATGCCTAAAGGTTGAACACAACCAAAATACACTGCGTGTGTGAGATCACCTGTTCACCCTTGTCCAGGGAGCCTATCTTGTGACATCCCTTCTGGGCAGGATGACTGACGTTCTCCTGGGTTCCCAGCCTCTATACATCTCTCTCCAGGTCAAGGGACTCTAACCAGCATTACCCTTCAAACAGTTTTACAATTTGAACGCCTTTAGAGAAGGCACACCCTTTCCAGTTAGCCACAGCCCCCACCTCTCCCTAAATCCACACCATCAGACCCTTTCCAAACAGGGCAGCTCCCTGGCCCCAGAGGCAACTGGATTTGGTGAGCGTGTGGCTGACACTCAGGTCCGACAGCATCTTCCCGACTGTGGCTCTGGCATTAGCCGTGGGTCCTGCCTCTATGACTGGGCTTCTGTCTTATCCCTGCGAGGCCATTTTGCTGCTGCCCTGTTTCCTTGTGCCCCAGTCCACGAGGCCGGGCCCAGGCCTCTTGCTGGAGACCCCAGCCCCGTACCTGGAGCCTTGCCTCTGACCAGCAGGCTCCCCTGGCTCTGGGCTCCTTTGGGTCACCTGGCTCTCCCCTGACTTTCCTTT